TATATATATATATTGGAACAACTCAATTTTTTACACATGTTAATGTTCAATTTGATTTTTAGCTATAGAAATCTATTTAAATATTATGTAGATATATAATCCCTCCAGGGATATTTGATGTGCTTGGCAAGTAGGCATGATACTCTTATTGTATACCTATGGTTACGTGATTAATGCGATCTCTCAGTAGCAGATCAGACACTGACAGTACACTGCTATGGATGGAATGAGCAGGAATAAAATAATATATTACTTACCTTTTATGAAAAATGAAGGTATTATAGTGAAGGACAGCTTTTTCTTATTGTGATAGTAAAGTGACAGTTGGATAAGGGGACCTCTGCAGCTAAATACTGTTTTGTCATGCCTATGCTTCCTTTCATCCTTCTTTCTTTCCTCCCTCCCTCCCCTCCTTCTTTCTGTAGGAATGTAGTATTTTTGCTAGTATTTCTTATTGGTATTTTTGAGATTCTGTAGCAAGCAGTGGGCTGCAGTCAGGCTATCTGTACCTTACCAGTTGTGAACTCTAAGCACAGAGTGTATTCTCTCTGCCATTTGTTGTTTGGTCTAGAGAGGTATCTTGCTGTGTTATTGATGTTTGGTGCCCCAGCCAAGCAGTAGTGTTGTAGGGCTTGCCATTGTGTGCTGGGAAAACTTTCTGGGACACTTCATACTCTGTCTTCACTCACAGGATTTCTGCCCTGTGAAGATTTCACTTTAAGAAGATCTGTGTCTCTCCCCTTGGGGCCTAGGGGTTGGAAGGATTCAGGGATTCCCTCCCCCTCCTAGAAGGTATTTCCTAAATATAGAGAAGCGCTGAGTGTCTGGTTGAGTGGGAAGTATACACAGGACCCTTTCCATGTTGTCCTTCCTTGGAATATAAAGATTGAGGTACCACTTGAATCTTATTTGGAAGCAAAGCACTGCAAGAGTCCATATAGTCTGTGTTAAGAATGTAAAAAGAGAAATTCAGAAGAGATTAAGGCCTAGTTGATGTTTGAGATTAATCATGTTTTGAGGATATCCTGATCCACACTTCACTCTCCCTCCCATATTGCCATGTGCAATAAACCAGTTCCTATTTTAAACTTGCTAACATGACCGGCACCCATCTTTTGTACATCCTGAGCAAAGATGCACCATGTGACATCTGTGCCTGGGATCTTATTGCCATGATAGAATATTTTAAACGTTGGCAATGTAGCTATAGGTCAGCTGAAGAATTACTAAAAATCAGTCGGAATATGACTTCACTTTCCTTTTCGCTTTCTCACTCTCTTCCTTCCTCCCTTCCCTCCCTCCCTTCTTTACATTTAATTTCTCCTTTTTCTTTCATCACCGGCACAACTTTTCTAAAACTGACATAGCTTTTGTTTTTCATTGCAGGAACATTTGTCGTTCGAGTTACAGCGAATGATGCAGATGATCCGACCTATGGAAACAGTGCAAGAGTCGTCTACAGTATTCTGCAGGGACAGCCATACTTCTCAGTCGAATCTGAAACAGGTCAGAAGACCTTAGCTGTGTCTTTGTTTCTGTAATTGAAGATGACATGTTAAGTCAAGCTAGGACATACTAGACAAAACTTGAAAGAGATTACATTTTCCACCCTGCACAAACTGACAAACTCAATTGAGCAAGACATCTGTAAGCATGACACCAATGGTATTAGAAACTAAAAATCAAAGCTGAAATATAATTAGGGCTGTACACAAAATAGTTTCTCTTGGAACAAGCATCAGGCCTGAAATTTCTTCAGAATAACTCAGGCAAGCTTTGCTCACTTGACGTGTCTGCCCACATTTTACAATATGAACATGATTTTAAGTTATTTTTTAAGTAATTTGTCACTACCCAAAATGTTTTTCCTGTGCATTGGTAATAAATTTGTAGGCATTTTTAAAGCTGTACTCCAAGCAGGTTATACACAATTTATGATAAATGTATATGAACCGTTTTGCTTGCCAAAAGATTCATAACTTTTTTTTCAGCTATTCTTGTGATGTAGGCCCTCCTGCCAGACTGCACAACCAAGTGCTCCCTGGACCTTTGTGCATACTACACACAAGCTGAGCAGCACAATCTGGTCCAGCACCTTCCCCAGCCTCTGACTAGATAGTAATGTAGCAACAGTACACTGAAGAGGTAATTGTTCTGCCCCCTTCTCCTATTACCATTAGAAGGAAAGCCTTGTGCAATGCAAAATAACCTAATTAGACAACACTACCGCCCCCCCTTTCCCGAGTGCTGCTATGCAGGGAACTACAGGAGGCTGACAGCTAAACAGATTAAGATACTTTTTCTGTTTGTAAAATATATTTAAAGTAGACTACAGAGAATGCATTAAGGTAGAAAACGCCTTTTAGTACTACTTCAGCATAAAAAAGTACATCTGATACTAGGTCCACTTTAATGATTATAAACCGTAAGATAAACATTTCAAACAAATTAATAAGAATCAATCTGACAATGTGCAGTAATAGTCCTTCTTATATCCGTGTAAAGTGCTTTTGTGCATAATCCTCTATACAGAAAATCCTCAGGATAAAGTGCTTCCGACTCCCGATGTGTTAAATAACTGAAGACACACTCGTCAGAAATCCATGACCATATATCTCAATGGTCAGTTAGCGTAATTATGGTGGGATGATCTCTCCTCAAATTTGACGAGTCCTCCTTTCCGTATAAGATGGCAAGTGTCGCTAACTCAGCGAGGGAAGGAAGCCAATATAGCGGAGGAATAAATGCTTGAAATGTGGAAGTACGTAATAAAAGTAGATTTATTGTAACGATAAAAAGACACTTACAAGATTACCAAATTGAAAGCGCCTTGCTACAAACAAACAATTGATTCCTCCTGAACGAACCGGAACCAGAAAGCCACCTGCTAATCACAGGTAGTCTAACCTCAGTATGTGCCCAATCCTTACCAACATATTTCATCCTTTGACTTTTTCCAAGAAAGGATCACATACTGAGGTATGTCTTTCTTAAATGGCCCATGGATAAATCAATTAACTGAAAATTGCCTCTAGAGGCCGCTAATAAAGTTCACAACTAGCGGTGTAGGTGGTGGATTGCCAGAAATAACAATAATAATAGCAGGTAAAGATCGTTAAAATTAATTATATAAATAAAATATTAAAAACCTAAACAATTTGCAATAAACCTTGAGTGTAGGATACTAACAGTATTGCAAGCCACTAAAACGGTCGCACTAATTCATAATTGTACATATTATATAAAAAAAATAAAACCAATAATAGATAACGGTAATAGACGGTGCCATAAAGGAAAGGATTATTATACGGCAACTAATTAAGACCTAATTGTGTCTAGAGAGGCTATGATTTTTAAAGCCATTTTTTATATTATTGATGTGTTCACCAAGCCTTACTTTTAATGGTCGTGTGGTCCGAGCTTCATATTGTAAACCAAACGGGCATTCGAATAAATACGTTACATGAGTAGACGCACATGAGATAAATTGTTTGATCTTAAATGTGCGTCCACTCACATGTGATCTAAAATGGGTAGTTTGTGATCTATTATGCATGGTCCTACAACAAATACATCTGCGACAATGGTAGAAGCCGACCCCCAAAGAAAGGAAACCTGTTTTTAATGATTCATAACTAGAATAAATGGTATTTGTATACCTTGCTAAAGTTAAACTAGAATAAGCATATATAAAAATACTGTTTGCAGGGACATCTGTGAGATAATAACTTGGCACCAAAAATCAATGCCTATGGCATAGATCAGTAAACATCTTATACAGTAATATAAATAGATATATATGAAGGAGGCAGTGTGCTACTTCAGCTAAATCACTATGTAAGGAGTTTAAAAATCTACATATATTATAAACATGTCTATCTATACATATATATACATATATCATAAACATGTTTTTAGACATTGGAAAAAAAGCATGTTTAGTTGATGTTTGGGCAGCTTACAGCTAGAATGGCAGATAAAAGAATCCCCATCTATGTACTGTGTATTACTACTTTGGCTAGATATTCACTAAAAAGTTTTTTTTTTCACAAATTTAAATATTTCCCATGTTTAGCTTCTGGAACAATCTGGTTGCCTGTTGACAGATTTAATTGACTTCTAAACAGAGGTGTCCCCAGACAGGGTGTCACGCGGAGCGCCCCCCGGGTGTCACCCGCCGGGATACCTTTGTGCTCACGTGTGATGTTGTTATGCATGTACGTGACGTCATCACGTATGCATTTAATTATGTCATGCGCAGTTAACTTCCGGCGGCCATCTCGATGATAGACGCCGGCAGCAAGAGGAGGTGACGTTACCTTATCCTGTCGGGTCCCCTCCTCTCTTTACGGCTGTTGGGCACTCGGTCCATGACCAAGTGCCCGACTTTTCAGTCTGTAAGTCATTTTGGTGTCACCCCCTCTGATGGTGTCACCCGGTGTGGGCCGCACCGCCCTTGTGACACCACTGCTTTTAAAGTCTCTAAAAGTGGTGCAATTGTAGTATAGCCGGAGATAAATACTGTCTGCTGTGTAAGGAATTTCTCCTAATCTCCCTTCTTCTCATTCTCCTCCTCAAGGCGCTGGCATATTCAGTGG